AACCTCCTCTGCCTCCTCCTCGGCCACCAAAGCCACCCTCACCCTTAGGTTTGGCCCAGTCCAAAGTAACTTTGTTTCCATCAATTTCTCCATCTTCCATGGCCTCCTTGGCAGCTTTGGCATCTTCCTCACTATTGAAATCTACAAAACCAAACCTAAAATAGAATAAAAACCAGACATTTTAAAGTAAGCACATTCATACACAGCAGGACCAAGTCATCCATACATAAGTATACAAAAAGCACTTTTATTGGAGGTCAAGAAAGACACAAATGTGATAAATTCTGATTGGTCTGAATTTAGATCTCAGAATGTCTCACACGATAGCCAAATATACCTCTGTAAAAACAGAAGTTAAGAGCTAGTTCTGTGAATTCTCTCTTCTTCTCTTGCGAATCCATAATCTGCCACCAGTAGACAGAAAGGAGCTCAATGAGAAGACACAGAAGAGCCACTGTCCATGAAGAATACAAAGAAAAGCAGCATTATGTCCTACCCTTTAGAGGAACCTGTTTCCCGATCTGTGACGATTCTTGCACGAACAGAGCCCTCAAATGATTCTTTTAAGGTCTCCTCAGTGGTATCTTCAGAAAGACCTTTGACAAACAGAGTTTTGGATGGCTCTAGAAGAGAAAAATGTTTGTTTTACAGGGATAGACTATGTAGTCTTGGCTGGTCTAGAACTCTGATCCATTCATTCTGCCTTGACTGCTAGGATTAAAGTCACATACTACCACATTCAGCTGAAGTAGATTCTTAATGACAGTGACTTTATATGTAAAATGTATACAATACTTGTTTTTAATCAGAAAAAAAAAAAAAAAAACAATTACAAGTAAAGGTAAAGAGACCACACTGGATTTGACATATCAACCTCAAGAGAACCAGAGGGCAATCAAATCCACAAGTTGCTGCTTTGAGATGACATGACACAGCTGGATCAGAACTTGACTATCTAGAGGAATTTTCTTGAGATTTCATCAATTATTTCTCAGGTAATCAGTCATCATATCCAGTTGTCATTTACTCAGCAGCAACTTAAAGCAACCAGCCCCACATTAGCTCAAAATATTGCCACCCAAACCCAGCTATACCATGCCAAGGGGACTTACGACTTCTTGCGTTAGCTGATCCCCTGGGTCCTTGTAACTCCAGCCTGATTGTTCTGCCCTCGATTTCCATTTTATTACAGGAGCTTAAAGCTTCTTTAGCATCTTCAAATGAAGCAAATTCTATGAATGCATACCTGAGGATTGAAAAGTCTATACTCAGAATAAAGCTTACAAACACATGGTACCAGCACCAATACTATTACTATCAACATTTGTCACTTGCATAGCTAAAAAGGATAGTTTTTGGTTTACCCTTATTAGCTGTGTAAAGAATGTCTAGCTCACATCTAGCAACATTAATAATTATTTTACCCTTTAGATTTGCCTTGTTGGTTCTGGGGCACTTTGATAAAAGTTGCTTTCTCAAATACCTCCTGAAGAGTTTCTTCTGTTGCACTGTAGGAAAGGTTACTTAAAACCAAAGTTTTTGATTCACCTGCAAGTACAAAGACGTCGTTATTAACAAGGCATGTTAAGTCTGTAAATTAAAGCACTCAGACAAGAAGGCCACGGTGGGCTACATAACAAGCTTGTTTCAAACTACCCCACAAAAGAATGTTAAATGAAAACATTGATACTTCAACCATAGGCCGTATATCATATAATCCTAAGAATCACCACCACACTTGACTCAAAAGACTGAGCATCCACCATACATGGTAATGCCGTCCTTGATTGCTCCTTTCATTTTCAGTCTAGATGACTTAAATGATGTTGTCCTAGAATATTATTTCTAAAATATAGTTTAAGTCATTTCAAATAAGACACACCTAACAAGGAAAGCAGTAATTGCCTTCTCTGAAATTAATTTAAATTGTAATTTAACATCTCTCATTCATGATACTAAGCATTATGAACAAAAAGTGAATCAATTCTGGCTAACCATAAAGTACTTAAAGTATGAAAACAAGTGACTTCCATCCCTATTGTAGAATGAACCCCTTTAACTTACCACTCCAAGTACTATTCTTTCCAGGTCTTTCTTGCCTTTGTTGTCCTTTCTCCCCAGTGTAGTAGAGTGAAACAGATCGCCCATCAATTTCTGTCCCCTGCTTCTCTTCAAGGTTTTTCTGTGCATCAGCTTCAGACTTAAATTCAATGTAAGCAATCCTACAATTTTGATAAACAGAGTACCAATCGCTCTAAGATCAAAAAACCACCTTATGTCAAAGAGTCATATAGTACTATGTTTAACTGCCCAGAACCACATTCTTCTCATAAAATATGGAAGGTTAGTCTGATGTTACCAGGAGCCTGAGGCAACAGATACTGATTTGGATGTAAGGCCAGCATGTAACAGCAATCACAAGCTTCTAAAGCAATCAGCTCGACTTGATGCCATACTCCTGACCTCAGCACCTTAGGTAGTGGAGGCTAGAGAACCTGGCTACAAATTAAGTCTGAGATCAACATGTACTGCATGTAGCCCTGTTTTGGGGAAGATATAGGGCTGGAGAGATGGCTCAGTGGTTAAGAGCACTGGCTATTCTTCCATAGGTTCTAAGTTCAATTTCCAGCAACCATATGTCTCACAACCACCTGTAATGAGATCTGGTGCCCTCTTCTGGCATTTGGGCCTGCATACATAATCAACTTTTTACAAAGGAGAGGGACACTAAACTACCAACTCAAACACCTATTGATGAATAAAAGTTTATCGTTTATATACAAACATACCCTTTACACCTCCCATCTTGGGTAACCATTCTGATCTCAACAGCATCTTCAAATGCTTCTTTTAAATCATCCTCAGTGATGTTGAATGAAAGGTTTTTTGCTAAAAGTGTTCTTGCAGCTCGAACTAGAATTTAAAAAAAAAAAAATCCAAGCACATCATGTAACAAGTCACTAGAGAATATACAAAAAAGCTCCTATAAAGGACAAGGCTCTATACTAAGAAATAAGGGACAGAGAGATGGTTAAGAGTACTTTGCACAAAGAGGAGCCATGTTCAATCCTTAACACTCATACACTAGGCACACATGTCGTCTATGCATATACAAACTTGCAGGTGGGGGGAACCATCCCACCCAACACATATAACATGTACAATTACAGAAAAAAAACAAAGGCACAAATTTAGGAGTCTGATATAATTTAAGAACATTTACTAATCTCATTGCTAATGAAAAACCAAATTTCATGACTGAAAGACCTGAAAGTACAAATCTAAATACTTTTTGAGCAATCACATTAACAAAGATAGAACAATATCTGAGCTGTTATTAGCCTGTCAAAATGCAAATCCTCTAAAAACATTTAGTTTCCTGGTGGTTATGTATATTTTAAGGTTCCATTCCTAAGATATCTCATCACAAATATGGATTACGATAATCAGTGACATTGTGTCTTTATGCAGTAAGTTTATGACCTATATAAACTACAAAATGAGCTCATAGCCACCTTCTCAAATGTTTAAAGGGAGTGAGGATATGTAGCACAGGGTTAATGAGTGCTTGCCTAGTATGCAGAGGGCCTAAGTTCAGTTTCCAGAACTGTTAACTAAAGAGAAAACAAACACTTCAAAATCCTAATTCTAAAATATAAAATCCTTTGAGTATCATGAATTCATTCTAAGAGATTCACTTATAATTCTTTTTATTGTTTAAGCATGATGCAAGCTGAGATCACAGCATGAAAACACCTATGTTCAGAGGACAACTCTGGAGCTTTTTCTCCTACTTTGTGGTGCTTCTAGAGAGGATCAAAATCAGGTCAAGCTTCACAATAAGCAGTTTTACTCCAAAGTTATCCAATCTGCCATCTAACACTACAATTTCCTGAGTAAGACAATCCCTGCTGAGTGTAACACTATTAATACCACCCTGGTTTACCTAGTGAGCCTTAGAATTGTCAGTGCCACACAGGTAAGACTCAGAAAACCTAAAATTATACTCCCTTTTGAATTCATAAATTTTAGCAGTCGAAGGCAGCCACACACAACAAGAACTTGTCGTGTCAAGAACACCATGAACCTCATCTATATCAATCGTATAGTTTTAAGGGAGAACGGGCAAAGCCTACCTACCAGACCCTTTTCTTTTACATACCTTTCTTACTATCTCTTCCTTTCGGTTTTTCTAGTTTAATTTCATTGCCAAACACTTTTAAACCAGTGAGTTCCAAGGCCTTTTCTTGGTCTTCAGCAGACTCAAAGTCCACATAGCCAAATTTCCTTGAAGATGAAAAGGACAAAATTACAGGCTTGAGAGTGAACATCTGCCACAGAATCAAGTCTATATACCAAGATGCCAGCAGACGCAGATTTCTTCATTTACTGCACTGTACTGATAGTACTAGCTGGAAAAGGAACCGCTCTAAAAGCATTCAGTCCAAAATGCCATTTTTTTTTTTGTTTTTCGAGGCAGGGTTTCTCTGTGGCTTTGGAGCCTGTCCTGGTACTAGCTCTTGTAGACCAGGCTGGCCTCAAACTCCCAGAGATCCACCTGCCTCTGCCTCTGCTGGGATTAAAGGCGTGCGCCACCACCGCCCAACTAGTCCAAAATGTCAATTTTTAAACTTGCTGTTACCCGACATAAAAAGTCAGATATTGAAACTTTAAATCTGTGGGTTCTATGATTTGACTTAGTTCTTTAATGGCTAATCTTCATTAAAGTAATTATATATCTTCATGTTTAACGGTATCTGCTAATCCACACATACAATAAAAAACTTACCTATTAGTACCAGTTCTGACATCCACAACAGCAAGATCATTTTTAGCAAAAAGTTCACTGATGGCATCTTTTAATTCTGCAACAGACTTGTTTGGATTAAGGTTTCCAATGAAGAGATTGTAAGGTGTTGTTGATTCCGAGCCTACACAGAAAAAACTTAGTTCTCTTTTAAGATCACTACACATAAGCTTCAGCATAAAATTTTTATGAAGCACATCAGCATACATAGTGAATCTCAACACCAGGTTTCAGTATTAAGTCCCTTTGTCATTCATCACTTGTGCTATTGCTACTTTCATCTCCTTTCAAACTCCCCAATTTTTAGGTTACCTTCCACCACTTTCTGTTTCTTGGCTTCGGGGACTTCTTTCTGCTTGGTCATTTCCTTCTTCCTTTTTCCAGGTGCTACTTTAACAGGCTCTGGATAAGATTTTTAGTGTCAATCATGAGTAAGCAGACAGCTAAAGCAATTCCATTAAACATTAATGAGGTACACTTTAGAACTTAATTTGATTACCTTCTTCCTCCTCTTCATCTTCTTCCTCCTCTTCATCTTCTTCCTCCTCCTCTTCATCATCATCCTCATCATCTTCATCATCCTCATCATCCTCTTCAGCCACAGCCTTGGTTTTCACAGGAACAACTTTTGCAGGAGCTTTCTTTCCTTTAGCAGGTGCGATCTCCATAGCTTCTTCCTCAGAGTCTGAAAGAAAGATGGCTCAGCAAAGACAGCCAATCTTGGTAACATGAATCCCTCACACTTATGAGTCTTAGAAAGGAAATGAAATCCTGACAACATGCTCAGTTATATTACAGAAAAGAACTATGAGCAAAAAAAAATGTAACTATCTAATCTAACCATAAAGTGATCAAGGAAAGTACACTGTATTGTTAGCAAAACCTAGCAAAACCTAGGTCTTAACTATCCTGCAACCTGAAATCTACTTACCATCATCTTCTTCATCATCATCATCATCTTCCTCATCATCTTCCTCATCTTCATCCTCTGAAGCAGGAGCAGCAGCAGCTACTTTTGCTGGCTTCCCTCCTTTCACTACTGGTGGTTCAAATTCCTCCTCTTCCTCATCATCTTCATCCTCATCACTGTCGTCTTCTTCATCGTCGTCATCATCTTCATCACTCTCTTCCTTCTTCGCATTCTTACCATTCTTAGCGCCCTTGGCTGGTGTGACAGCTCCCTTTTTACCAGAGGCTGCTACCAGTGCTTTTGCTTGTGCGATTCCCTTCTTACCAGGTGTTGCAACTGCTTTGGCTGGTGTAACTGCCTTCTTGGCTGGTGTGGCTGCTGCCTTTTTACCTGGGGTAACAGCAGCCTTCTTAGCTGGTGTGGGAACTGCAACCTTTTTTGTTTGTGAAACAACTACCTTCTTTGCTGGAGTTACAGCCTTCTTGGCTTTTTTCTGAGGAATGACAACCTTAAATGCAAACAAATCATTAGCATTTTCCTTCATCCAATGCTATGTTAATATATTGCCACTAACTTTGTGTTCAAGAACCCTGGCATTAGTGTTTTAAGTCCTGGAGTCAAACGACTACAGATATGGCACAGCAGTTAAGAAGTACTTATTACTCTAGTAGGACTCAAGGTCAGTTCTTAGCATGCATCCACATGATGGCTCTAAATCCAATTCCAGGGGATCCAAGAGCATTCTTCTATGCCGAGGGCACTAGGCATGCTTAGTACAATTACACACACACAGACACACCAATAAACTAACAGAAAAATAAATCTTAAACCCTGGAGTCAGGGTACATGGCTTTCTATATGCTTGTAGTTGCAGATGCTTATCAGACAAACACCCAAGTTTAAGAAACCCTCACAAACAAGACCGGCTTTTAATTCCACCCCTACACCTCAGCCTAACTACTAGAGCTACAAAGTATTTTTACTTTCATTTAAAAAAGTTCCACCCAAACCACACTGTTAATTACTAGTATACCTCTGAAATACAAGAAATCTGAGCATGATCATTATATAGCCCCAACTTAACTCAAATTCAAGAATATCCCCTACTTCTGCCTCCTGAATGATGGGATTAATTAAATTACCATGTCTTTAAATGAACCAACAAGTAAGAGTGCTAATGAGTACCAGATCTATCAAACTGGTAGCACTCCATCCATATCAGATGTACTTTAAACATTCATTGGCTTTATATAGCTTACACAAAAGGCAGAAACTTGGTGATTGGGGACAGAACTTAAAAACATTCATGATGGAATATTGGCAATGATAAATAGTGCTTGAAGAATTAAAAGATTACACTCACATCTAATGTGTTCAGTTTAGTTTATTGAAATACAGAAAAAAAACCCATACACATAGGAATAAGACAAATATGGTGCCACCTGAACTATGAGACCCTTATTCTCATCTATATCAAAGTTCTGGGTTTCTTAATAAATAATCTGTCATAAGCTGCATGCAGTGGCTAACATCTTTTATTCAGCAGACTGAGGTCAGCCTGGTCTACATATGAGTTCTAGAACTGCCAGGGTCATAGGGCGACCCTGATTCAAAACAAAAATGGGAATTTTGTGTCATAATGTCCTTCCAAAATGCATGAAGCCATGCGATCGTAGAAAAATAAGTTGGAAAAATTCTGTCTTCCAAAAAAGGAGGGAAAATAACCTGTTAGGAAATCAGGCACATGAAGCCTGACTAGTGAAATGGACATCCCTCCCAAATCGTCTATTTAAATCCTCTAATTATCAATGGCACTAAAGTACTTGTCACTCAACCCCTAACTGCATACTACAATACTGTATTTCTGATAAACATTTAATTCCTTCGATTTCACTGCTGCATCTTAAGCTTATCCACCTGCCCCTGCCTCCCAGTGTGCTGGAATTAAGGCGCCAGCACAGCCCATCATATCTTTAGCATTTAATATGACTTTTCAATTAGTTGTATACCTCCTCTTCTCCACTGCTGTCATCTTCTTCATCTTCTGACATTTCTTCATCCTCACTATCTTCTTCCACTTCCTTTGGAGGAGGAGCCATTTTCTTGGATTCACCGTGGGTTTTGCCGGCCTACAAGTGCACACAAAATCATGCCTCTGCCCATTTTGGGCTTTGCCATTATCTTCTGCACAAGCAGAAAAGACATCCTTTTGACAATGTATGACAATATAGCATATTTTACTCAGAACCACATATAATTTCTTTCATTTTCAGATAGCTGAAATCTCTACCATTCATTACCAACGCATTTTAAAAGTCTACTTACTAGTCCTTGCCTTTTATGTTCTAGCACCTTCGCCTGAATTCGACTTAGGGTTAGCCCTCTCCATTAATTGCTTGGCCAGGGGGTATCTTCCAAGTCCCTTTTTAGAAGGAGCGCCTAAGAGATCTACTTCCGACTTTCTCGTGTTGGTGGCGGGCCACGTGGGAGGACCAAGCAGGCCACCACGCGCTCCCTCAGCCCACCACGTGGTCGGCCCGTCACGGACAGATCGGGGATGGCTAGGTTCCCCACGTAGGTCAATACCCCCAACCCCCCCCTTACCAGTGTACCGACACAGCCCGACCCCGAGGCGCGCGACACACGCGGAGCGCCAAAACCCACGTGGCGGGCCACGCACCGGAGCACGTGCGCCAGGAGGCGGGGCCCAGCGAGCGCCGGTCGCACGAGTTTGGTCGCATCTCCAACCGGCAGCCCTGGCGCCTTCTCCACTCTCGGCGGCTCCGATCTCAGTCCCCCACCCCAGCCCCCGCCGCGACAAACACACGCGGCGACCCCCGCCGCACTCCACAGTCGCCTCCCGGAACCCGCCTCGGCCCTTCTCACCATCAAGTCAAGAGGCCAAACGCCGCGAGACCTCCCGCTAGTCGCGCGAGACTTCCCCCCCCAGCATGGCGCCCTCGAACGCGCCCGGGATTGCGCTCAGGCCCTCCTCCCCTCCGCGGCGCGCGCGCGCGCACCCCTTAGGCAGCAGGCCTAGCGGCCCGTGTCCGCGCGCGCAGGGCCTCTCACCTTTGCGAGCTTCACCATGGTGGCGGATGACGGCGGCGGCGCAGTAAGCAGCTCAGAAGAGCCCGGGAGAACCGACGCGAACTCGACGGCAGCGGCGGGCACTGAAGACACAGGAGCACGTACGACTGACTGCCAGCTACAACTAGCGTCTGAGGCAAAAGACTGAGCCTGCCCAGTAATCGCCTCTGGAAAGGCGACGACGGTGTCCTCGTGACCCCGCCTCCGCCAACCAGAGACCGCGCCCGTTCCCCGAGCCAACCGCGAGCCTCTAAGCAAGGCCGGAGCGGGGCGGGACTACGGCGTCTGTGGGCGGGGTTTGGGAGGGCGGGGCCTGACGGCAGCGCCCTGAGGGCGGGACTTATTTTGCGCTAGGCGGACGTTGACTGGTTGGCGTGCGGGTCCGTTTAGCGGCCCGCTCTCGCCGCGCCTGCGCCGTGGGAAGCGCCGAGTTTGGCGCTGCTTGCGTGAGGGATGTGGGGGTGGCGACATGGCCGGGATGCTCTCATGTGCTCGAATGCTACGTGCACCCCTAGGCTCGCGTGGCCGGGGGTGTTCCGCGGGGATTTCCCCCGTGCTGCGGAAGCCAGCAACCCACGGTGGACGTCGCTGCGGCCTAAAGGGTTCGCCGTGCGTCCCTGCCGAGGAGCCGGAGAGCGCCGGAAGTCCAGGGCCTAGAGCCCACTTGTGCCAGCTCGCAGCCCTCGGCCTGCCCTCAGTGGAGCCGAGCACATCCCCTTGGCTATAGTGGTGTGCCTAGAGCCACCGTTCTCCTGAGCTCCTAATAAAGGCTGCGTGTGTGTTTGTGTGTGTGTGCGTGCGTGCACGCGTGTGTGCAGTGCACAAACAGCACACTGAATGTCTAACCTCACGCGGTAGGTAGGTTTACCTCCTATCGGGACAGACTCGGAGAGGTGACTTCCTGGTGTGTGGTGGCCGGCCTGTGACCACTCACGGATTCCCCCGATGGCAGGGAGGACAGAGTTAGTTCTCTTGGGTCGCTTAAGTGGATTGCCCCGTGTGTGGGACCTTGGTTCCAAGTGTGGCATACTGGAGTGTTTTCTGGACATCTAAACCTAACTTGCTACAGAGTCAGGGTTCCATCATCTGACAATCTTGGTTGAAAATCACCTGTGGAGATTTTGCCCGGCGTGTTGCAGCAGGCTCTCACTTGCTCTTGCTGTCCTGGAGCTCACTGTTTAGACAGGCTAACCTCGACCTGCCTCACGTGTGCTGAGGTTAAATGAATGGCCACCACGCCTCGGGAGGTTTTAATGCAAGCGGCATG